TGATTAGAAATATGACCACATAGATGGGCTAAAAAGTAACAAAAGTGAGGAGCAACAGAGAATACAAGGGCTTGGGTGACAGCAAATAGGTGAGACAGCGTAATATATGCACTGGACCAACATGGGGGTCAGATCAGGAAACGGTGGACGTTATTGGGACTGCGTTCCCATAACTAATGCCAAACACGAGAGGAGAGAGGCGTGGTGACAGGCGCTAATGCAGCCTCAGGCACCAGGATCTGTCACAGGCTTGGCGGCTCTGGCCAACTGCACCCGATCTTGGCTCTATCTTGACATCGGCACGGGCGGATATGGAAAGAGTAGAGAACGAGTGCGGTCGCTGCAATACAAAGCTATTATGACTTACGACTCATCTACACGTAAATCATCGTCTCTGTGCGCCGTTTCAATGTGGGGCCTATGGAGGACCTCGCTGAAATCAACGGTCAAACTGTCATTTAAGACAAATGGTTGAAAATTAGTCTGATTTCTGAAAGGAGTTCTCATTCGCTGGGGCTAATTAACGCAGTATTTCGAAAAATAAAGTTTCAGAGCCCGCCGCGTATCAGGGGGAATCTAAAGTGGTTGGTACACGTCACCAAACAGGTTTATTCGTGGAATATTTATCTTAGATATGTCCAAAATAATGCTTTCAACGCATTTTACTCTTATTAACAGTTAATTTAACACATAAAAGATAGATGTGAAAAAGGAATGCAGTTTGTTCTATGGGCTAATTGCCTCACAAGCGCATTTACGGTACGCTATGCTCATATTTCCCTTGGCTGCTGTTTTATTCTGCAATCACATTAAGATCAAAGAGAATTACGAATATGACTTTTAATTAAGTAATTAGGGTTTTAATTGAGAAGGAGATGACTCAATCGCTGGGACAATGCGTTTAATTACCTGTCGTTTCGTCGCGGATTCATCCTCAGCGACATTAGCGGAAAACAGTAGCAGAAACGGGTTTCTGTTGAGGTATTCCTTATCATTTGTAGGAAGGGGACTTTGGTCAACTTTATCCGTCGAAAAGTCATATAACCAAGGCTTGATGTAATACATTACGGAAAAATGTACGCACAGCATATAGAGATTACAGATATTCAAGCAATTTAAGATTTTGTAAAGACGTACAGATAACTAATAAAGTTTAAAAAGACATGTACGTGCTAATTTCGAGAACGGAGGAGAGAGAGAAAGAAACTATACATTCAAAGTAAACATCTTTACTAAACACCGCTGTATGATTCAACAACCTGAACACTTATAAATTATTTAAGATCTTAAACATAATCCAGGTATGGGGTTTTCGGGGAGTTAGAACATTTCAATAATCAGTAAAAAAAATCTGAATGCAAATGAACAAAGTTCCAGCGAAAACATTTCACAAAACCAGAAATGTAAATGCACAAAGTAATGTTTGAACACACGATGAAGCGCCTTCTACACGAAAGGATATACTCCTAATCTACAGGCTGAATGTAAGGTAAACCTTAGAAGTGACAGTTCACACTAA